TGGCAAAATCCCAGAAAAGGCTCTGTCACAAGATGTAGGTCACACACACATTTCCATTGTCTCTGGGTTTCCTTCCTCCATTGCTTCGACACATGTCCATGGTGCACCTGCTTTTTGTTCCATTTTTCTCAATTATTTGCTGGCACTGCCAGGTCCTGGGGAGGCAGCTGCACCTTGGAGGCACAGTTTTGGTCCTCATGGACCTTAGCAGTCTAGTAGGACAGACAAGGGTCCAACTGTGTCTCCCGTGAGCACGTGTATGGTTAGAAACTGCTGAGCCCTTCATGGCAGAAAAGAGTGAGATACTATGAGTGTGTAACAGGAGAACAGATTCTGGGATGAACTCACAGACAGGGGCGTGGTGATGATGAGTAGGAGCTGTCCAGGTGTAGAGCAGGGGAGGAACTTGACAGAGAGACAAGTCCTAAGTGGGGCCCAGTGCAGGACGGGAACATGCCCATGGATGTTTGGTAGAGCGGGAGAACAGTAGTGCAGGGAACAGCGGCTCAAGAAATAAGGCAGCAGGAGCTGGATTGTTGGGGCTCTTACAGATAATCCATTTGTGTTTCCTTCTGGCCTTCACAAATGGAGACGCCTCCTCTGATTTTCACTGCTGTGTCCCTAATGTCCAAAACAGTCCCTGAAATAGAGTAGACCCTCCATAAGTTGGAATGAATGAGACATCTCATTCCCAGAGTCCCCATGGTCCCAGATCAACTATTTAAAAAAATTGATGAAGCATTTCCCTGTAGTGTGATTGAGCTGTTTTTATAGGTATCTTTTGAGAGATGTTTGTCTAAGCGGTGACCCTGTTGCTGAATGAAACACGACATCCATTTAAATAAACACACACATCGACACGCACATTCGGGGAAATCCATGCACACAGAGAACACTCCCCTGTGGCGTGAACAACAGAACCACCTGGTCTCATCTCCAGATGATCAAGAGCACAGGCGTTGGATCGATCTGTTGAACATGTGCTTGCTGAGTGCTGGGCACCAAGCTACAGTGGTTGGAATATGATTTTGGACACTGCCCCTTCCTGGCTCTCGGTCTTGGTTAGACAAATGCCTTGACCTCTCTAAGCATCTGTTTCTTCTTCTATAAAATGGGAACAATGACAGTCACTGTCTCAGGGAATTTGTGTGAGACTAAAATCTACACACACATTCTCGCTAACTTAAACAACATTGATGGTGATTGATACACAGTCTGACAACAGATGTTGTGAACTCATGCTAGGAAAAAGTGCTACATACCTCATTGCTGAATGTCACTGCGGTCACCTTCGAAGGACTCCCCTTGGCCATCTGGTGACTGTAGTGACATTCAGCAGTGCAGTATGTAGCACTTATTCTAAGAAACATACATACACGTGAACTCTGAGAATCTGCATTTGGTTTCTGCTAACAAGTTTAAGCCAGTACCCCTGCCTTTAAGCCAGCACTATGCCTTTCCCAGGAGGATGCATTGGGAAGCTGCTGCCTGGGCTGCCCTGAGGTTCTCAGCCTAGAGGAATCTCCCTGGGGCGGGTGCACATATTTCCATCTGCATTTTGCCTCCTGGAAGAGCTGACTGATGCGAAGGCCCTGGGCGCCCTCTGCTGGCAGAGGCCATGCAAGTCTCATGGCATTGCACAGGCGGCTGGGAAGTACCCACTTCTGAGAGACCAAGCCGCCACCCTGTCACAGTGTCCTCATCTGGCGCTTTCTCCTCACCTGCCGACCTCCTCGCTCAGCCTCCCCCACTCGCCGGCTAACTCCCACCCTTCCATCTTCTCCCTCCTTCTTGTGGGTGTCTCTGCTTCCTGGAAGCTTAGGGGAAAAGCTATCCTCCAAGAAGGGGCATCACTGCCAGGCCCCCCACCTGCCAGGCTCCCCCTAGGATCAGATTTCTCCACAAAGCCAAGATGGCCTTGACAAGAAGGCAGAGAGATGGGAGGAGAGACACGCGGGGGCCCGGAGAATGGTGCTACCTGCCTTCCTCTGCAATTATAAAAACATTTCCAGAGATTCGAAGTGTGAGACCCCCCAGGTGGCAAAGTGAAAAAAAAGATGGATTTGCCTTCAGATCTCAGTCCTCAAATGCACTCAGTAGGCAAGTCCATGGAAATCCCTGTACATCTCGGAAGCTCTTTTCCCTGTCAGTTAATGAGGAACATAATTGTGCCCATCCCACAGCGTTGGTGAGGTCACACTAAAAACAGCCTCTGCTGTGCACTCACAGTTCAAGGAGCAGCAGCCCTTGCTCTTGGGCACAGCCTGTCCAGGCTTCATGCACCCAGGGGCGCTATAGTCCTCTCAGCTTTAACAGCCTCCGTCTGTCACAGGCAGGACCTCTAGAACTCAGCACCTGAGCAGGGATAAGGAGTGTGGCCTCTGAGAGGTCCCATTTGAATAAAGACTCAATGTAAAGTACTTGTAACTGTGCCCGATGCACACAGTAGGTGCTTAGTAACTGGTTTTGTTATTACTGCTTCTCATTAAGGCAGCCTGAATAGCTTTTATGATCCCCGTTTTACAGATAGGAACATTGAGGTTCATGTAGTTTGGTCCAGGTTAATAGCTAGAATGTAGTGTGGGCAGAAGCAGAGGCCAGGCTTCAGAGTCATTGCCACCCCCCACCCTTGGCATCTCCTACCCAGGAAACAAGTGTTTGGGGTCACATGGGGAAGGGACCATTGCCCAGAGGCATCTAATCCACCAAGAATTCCTGATAACAGGCCCCAGTGACTGTTCTGTGTGGGAGATTTGTATGTCTCCCACTAGGCTGGGAAGATCTAGAGGACAAGCAATCAAGCCTAGCTGCATGTCCACAGCTTGCAGGACAAGCCTCCACCCCGAGGATGTGCTCAGTGGACGCTAGTGACCAACCAGGGCATGGAATACCCCTCCATCCCACTACATCTTTGAGGGAAGCAGTGGCCATCACCACCATCAGCATCACCAGAGGCCATCTCATAAGGAGGCAGGAGAAAAGTTAGTACCTTAAACCCTGGCTAGGGTCATACTCTACCTGGTGGCATTTCTATCGACTGGAAATCTGTCTTTTCCTATACCCATTGCTGTTCCTCACTCCAAGCTGTGCAGACCAAAGACTAACCACTTAGTAGCACCCATGGTCACATGCACACACAGACATAAACAAGTGTGACTCCACAGATAGACACGGCAAGCCCACACACAAGACTATGCTTAAATGGCAAGTGTGGACCTCAAAACTCCCCATCATTCATGTGTATGCCCAGGCAGACATCCCCAGGCTCAGCCAACTTGGGTCCAAATCCCAACTCTTCCACCTGTTAACACTGGAGCTCATGTTACTCAGCTGTAACTGTTACTCATCTGTAAAGATGATAATATCTATCTTGCAGGGTTGTTGTGAGGAGTAAATGATAAAATGAAGTGCTTAGCTAGATCCTAGCAAAGTATAAGGATTCAATAAATAAAAGAGATGACAATGACAGTGATGATGACAAGGGTGGTGATACCGGTCATGTTGAAGGTGGTGGTAGCATTGCGTCCTTGCTCAAAGAATGTGATGATAAGCTTCAAAGATGCCTGGGGTGGGACGCCGCAGGAACATAGAGTACAGACAGCAAGGTGACCCAGGCCACTTGACACTTTCATAGCTGCTTTGAACTGCCCGAGATCCAGCCTTCAAAGGCATTGCTTTGGCATCACGTTATCTGTGTTTTTGTCTTTCTGGTTTTCATTTCAAGGTTGTCCATTCCAGGTGGCAAAGTGAAGTAATAAACATCCTCTTTCCCTGTTCTTCTCTTCCCTCTTTTCCTCTTCCCCAGATTCTAATTAACGTGTCTAACTCTGAGGTTGTCTGAATAAGAAGGGACCTGAAAAATCCTATTTAATACAGAAATGCTCTTGATACCATCCGCGCCTGTTGGAGGTCAAGTTTCCAGTTTGCACACCCCAGGAATAGGAAGCCCACCCCTCAGCAGGCCTCCTGTTTGTAGGCACGACAGTGGTTCTCAACCTTCCTAATGCCGCCACCCTTTAACACAGTTCCTCGTGTTGTGGTGACCCCCAACCATAAAATGATTTTCGTTGCTACTTCATCACTGTAATTTTGCTACTGTTATGAATCGGAATGTAAATATCTGATATGCAGGATGTATTTTCATTGTTACAAAGGGGTCATGACCCACAGGTTGAGAACCGGTGGTAGAAGGATGAAGCCGGTCTCCCTGTGTTTCACTATCTCCACCATCCTCGGAAAACCACCTTTGTTCAGGGGGCAGTTCTGCACAGTGACCTCCTGTTCCCTGGGGTTGTCCTACAGGGGAGGGGTAGAGGTACCTTAAAAAGTTCAGGCAGGGGAATGAGCACTGAGCTGGGAGTCAGGAGATGTGGGTTTGCATCTAGCCCATGGTGGTCATTCAGAAGTCATTCCCCTTCTCCAAGCCTGTTTTCCCATCTGTAAAAGGCGTTTGAGCCAGACAAAGAAAGAGCCTCACCAGGCCCTGCCACTTTAACACCTATTTTTCCATGTCTTCCTTTCATTAGCTCCGTCTTGCCCCCGGTTCTTCACACGCCCCCCACTATGATTCTCTGTTCCCTCTCATCCTGATTCAACATTGTCATTGCTTTGGCAAGAGGATGTTTAGCAGCCAAATATGCGGTTTATGGAGCATTGGAGAGTGTCTGAAACTATTGGCAGCTTTATCATATTAGGTTTACAGCAGCCCTGAGATCTGAGCCTCACTTTATGGGCAAGGAAACTGAGGCTCTGAGAGGAACAGTAGCTTGCTCGAAGTCATAACGCCAGTAGATAGTGGCATCAGAATTTGAACCCAAGCCTGCCTGACTCGGGAGCTTGTAGTTACCATCACATATTCAGAGCTGGGATTCTGGGAGCCAGAGGCGTCATACACACCAAAGCCACCACCCAGGAGAGGCTTCTCTGACTGTGGCAGCCTTGCCCTGCAGCCCACAGGTTCTGCTTTCTGGATCTGGCAGTGTCTCTGCTCCTCTCCACAGGGAGAACAACTTCATCAAGGACTTTCCCCAGCTGGCCGACGGGCTGTTGGTGATCCCGCTGCCGGTGGAAGAGCAGTGCCGGGGGGTCCTCTCCGAGCCCCTCCCGGACCTCCAGTTGCTTACCGGTAAGACTCACGTACCAGACCCTCCCAGGCCCCCTAACCACACACCTGGTACATGTCAGTCCCCAGAGATCAACGACAGGAGACACCTCCCGAGAACAGGAACGGTCTTTCTCAGTGAGGGTTTGGGCACCTCTTCTGACTCTCAAAACATTTTTCACCCTAATTGACAATTTTCTGAAATTATTTCACTTGCAGTATTTTGTTTTAATGGTTCCTTTTTAAGTCATTCTAAAGTAAAATCCAAGGACACTGCAGCCAGGAGGCTCTCTTGCTCAGAAGCACAGGAGTTTCACAGCTTGTTTTGGTACATGGGCACAAGCCTTTTGTCAGGTGTGTATTATTTGTCCTATTTTTTAGATAAGTAATCTAGGCTCAGAGAGGTGAAGGAACCAGCCCAAGGTCACACAGCATATCTGCCAGGACTAGAACCTGGGTGCCATAGCACCAAGTCTTTTG